CTGTGTCCCTCCCACAGCGAGGGGTCACTGTGTCCCTCCCACAGCGAGGGGTCACTGTGTCCCTCCCACAGGACCGTCCAATTACTGTACCTCATCAAGTAACTCCTTCAACACAGCGTCCTGGAGACTAATTGCTGGCAGCTCTGGGACAAGATCTTGGCCCAGGTTAGTCCTACCTGCAGAAAACCAGAAGTTGCTGGAAATGCTCAGCGGGTCCGGCAGCACCTGTGAAGGAATAAAACAGAGTTAACATTTCGGGTCCGGTGACCCTGCCTCAGAGCCACAGTTCGATGTGGGAGGGTCACAGTGATCCGAAATGTTAACTCTGTTTTTCTCCTTCACAGATGCTGCCAGGCCTGCTGAGCTTTTCCAGCAACTTTGTTTTAGTCCTTCCTGCCCGACTTACCTTGGCTCTCTGATTCTGGAACCAGACTTGCACAACACGGACACTCAGACCCGTTTCAGCTGCAAGAGTCTCCCTCACCTTCGAAAGAAAGGAAGAGTCTTTATGAATACACAAATGTACAGTTGCGGGGGCAAGAGTAGGCCATTCGGCCCCTGGAACCTGCTCCTCTATTCAAGGCGGATCTGACTGTGGCATCGACTCCATGTTTCTGCCTCGCCTTGATAACCTTTGACCCGCCCCCCTCCCCCCGTGATAGCCAAAAAAGTCTGCCTCTGCCTCAACTACATTCTACGAACTGGCCTCCATCGGTCTCCGGGGAACAGTGCCCCAAGACCCTCGGAGGAAAATAAAATCATCCTCATCTTTGTCTTAAACAGGAGACCCCGTAATTTTAAATTGCCTGCCCTAGTCTCTCCCACAAGGGATCAATCTACTCTGTCATTTCTCCTTCAGTTTCAATCAGATCACTTCTGATTCCAATGGAGGTAATCCTGCCACAGAGTCAGTATTGATCCTCCCTCACCGATTCCCTCAGCCCGATAACAACCGAGTGTTAACAAATCCACGCCAGAACATAAGTGACCGAAGGTAGCTTTGGATCTGCTTTATTTCCTGTGCCCATCCATCTCCCCCTCCCCTAAGAGAGTCACGAAGGCATGGAAGGAGGCCATTCAGCCCATCGACTCTGCACTGAGCGATTCTTTCCTCTGCCAGACCTTCACAGAAGCTCCACAACCCCCCAACTTCAGCTGACACATCGCGGAGTCACGGAGAGCTTTGGCCAAGGGGACGTGCGTGTGTGGCACTTGAGGTCACTGGCACTGAGGTCAGGATCAGGTCACATGGGCATCCGTTGCCCCCAGGGTGTTCCGAAACCATCCGCTTACTTTAAACTGGTGCAGTGGGTGGGGGGGCACATTCACTGCCGTGCAGGAGGTGGTTACTACACACTGTGGCTGCCCTCTGGCTCCGAGATGGGCAGGAAGACTGTGCCATCTGCCCAGGTTACTGGGTCGTTGGGCTGGTAATACCCAGCAGGACCACCGGACAGCCCCCACCTCCCTCACTCCCCCAACCCCACACTGTTTCTGCCCCTCACCTTTCTGCAGGGCTTGGAAGACACCTCAAAAGATGCCTTGAAAGCACGCCTCTGTTGCGTGGTCAGAATAGTCCGAGGTCTCTTCGGTCGCTTGGGATCTTTGGAGTCATCCCCTCCTTTGCACTGCAACTGCTCCAGTTTGCCAATGCAGTCTTCGTCATCGCTTTTAGCTGTAGGGACAGAAGGTAGGCACGCCGAGTGAGTGATCCACACAAGCTGTGCTACCCATGCACATCGACCCTCTTCCCTGGTACCAGCAGTCCCAGACAGGTACGCAGATCTGTGCTGCTCACTTTGACTCCCACTCATCTATAATAAAAATTAGAACATAGAACTGTACAGCACAGCACAGGCCCTTCGGCTCATGATGTTGTGCCGACCTATTATCCTACTCTAAGATCAAAACTAACCTGCATACCATTCATTTTACTATCATCCATGTGCCTATCCAAGAGTCGCTTAAATGTCCCTAATGCATCCGACTTTACTACCACCCCTGCAGTGCATCCCATGCCCTCACCACAAACTACCCAGTTGAGTCTCTGTGTGGCAGCTTACTTAGGCGATGTAAACCATCCTTCTCTTCACACCTTGTATGTACTGCAGGGCATTAAACACTGGGGTAAATCCTGCCTTTGTCTTCTAGTTAATGTGATGCAAAGGATTAACGTGAATATGAAAATATAACCATTCACGGCACACTGGGGATGGACGGGAAAATCACAAAGGAACTAGAGTAGGCCATTCAGTCCATTGAGCCTGCCCTGCTATTCTAGATCCTAGCTAATCATCCCCTTGGTGCAATGTTCCCCATTATCTTTGAATTATTTGATTTAACTTGATTTGATTTACTATTGACACATGTATCGAGATACAGTGAAAATTACTGTTTTGTGTGCTATCCAGGCAAGTCATACCTGACATAAGTACATCAGGACACTAGAACAGAATGCAAAATACAATGTTACAGCTGCAGAGAAGGCACAGAGAAAGACCAGCTCTAACATATGAGAGGTCTGTTCATAAGTCTGATAATGACAGGGAAGAAGCTGTTCTTGAATCCGTTGGTACGTGTTTTCAAACTTTTGTATCTTCTGCCTGATGGAAGAGGTTGGAAGAGAGTATAACTGGGGTGGGATTATGCTGGCTACTTTCCTGAGGCAGCAGGAAGTGTACACAGAGTCAATGGATGGTCACTTATCCCTGAATATGCCTTAATGACATTAGTCTCCAGAAGTCTATCGATTTCTGTCTCGAACCTGCTCAGGGATTGAGCTTCCACAATCCTGAGGAGTCAGAATCCAAATATTCACCAGCCTCTGAGTGAAGATGTTGCTCCCCATTTCGCAGCCTCTGGCAGCTTCACAGTAGAGGTGAAAGCTTGAACTGTACATACGCGGTGTTTACCATGGGGTAGCACGGTGGCTCAGTGGTTAGCACTACTGCCTCGGGGTGCCAGGGACCTCAGTTCGATTCCAGGCTCGGGTGACTGTCTGTGTGGATTTTGTGTGTTCTCCCTGTGTCTGCATGGGTTTCTTCCCACAGTCCAAAGATGTGCAGGTTTGGCGGATTGGCCAGGCTAAATTGCCCCATAGCATCCAGGGATGTGCTGACCAAGGGAAATGTAGGGTGACAGGGTAGGGGAGTAGGTCTGAGTAGTCTGGTTCCCAACCAGGTTAGATCTGCCAACTCTCCAGAAGTTGAAAAGTATTCTCCATGGCTTATACTGCGAGCAACCCGAGAGACAAAATAAAAATTGAAGGGTTCGCCGGAAAAAAAACTTGTCCGCACTTCCGTGTTCTTTCAACACTTTTCCAGGAATAGCTTTGAAAGTGTTGAAAATGGCTCATGAAGAAGGTATTCCCAAACTGGCAGTCAAGAGCCTTCCGACTGGCTTTCAGATCAGCGTCGGGAAAGACAGGGCACTGCCAGGGTGGGCATGTTGAGCAACCCATGGGAGGAGAGAGACTGGCAGTTATGTGATGGGAGCTCCAGGGATGCAGCCAATCAGAATTGGCATCCTTCAAGCAGGGTTGTGGCACTGCCTTGCTGCATGGCGTCTCATCGAAGCTCTGAGCCCTTGCCCACAAGACTGGCAGAATTCCCATAGCCCCAGGCTTTTGCACGATCTGTAACACTTTCCCTTTTTCAGGGCAGCTGTGAAAACCAAGCGCAGATTTTGAAAGAGAAAGTACGCGAGCCAGAGATCTTGCAAAATGCAAAGAAGGCAATCTCCCTGTGATATCATTTATTATCACACCTGCCTCACAGGCCCCAACTGCAAGAGCTGTCATGTCAGAAGAAGAAATGACAACACCCCCAGAGCATGAGGCTGTTCCCATGTCCAATTACTGCACGCACGCACACACATACAGCTGTCCTCTCCCTAACGCACACCAGAAAGACACTGCGTTGGGTTTCCCAAACCGGTAGTGAGTTAACTGCCCTCAGGTAAGCCGGCGGCTCAAGAATGGAGCAGACTGGGAAGGTGAGGGCGTCGCTACATTAGCCTCCCAGCAATCATCAGGAGTGGGGTCAAGTTAGGAATGACTAGGTGGCTATCAGTCAGCTCCCATTGGGAAGCACCAGTGAATGCTGGGATGAGAACAGCACTAGGATTGGCTCTGGTGTCTCTGTGGGCAGCAACGCTGCTAGTCAGAAGGTTTTGAGCTCAAGTTTCACGCCAGAGTCCTAAACACATAATCCAGGTGGACACTACCAATGAAGCAGTGAAGGGGTGTTGTCTTTCAGATGGGATTCTAACCCAAGGTCAATGTCTGCCCTCTCAGGGCAAACCCTTTGGCCCCATTTCAAAGCAGATTCGGGGAGATGCCCCTTGTGACTTTGCAGATACTTAACCCCGCAAGTGGAAGCGTAGACCTCACTAGCAAGGCCAGCATTTGTTGTCCTTTCCTAATCACCCTTGAACTGAGTGGCTCTCTGAGCTATTTCAGAGGGTGGTTAAGGACCAAACACATGGCCGTGGGTCTGGAGTCACATGTAGGTGAGGACAGCAGATTTCATTCCTGAACTGAGCAGCAGCAGTCCACATTTATCACTTGAACCTAACTTCCATTAGTCGCTGTGGTTGCATTTGAACTTGTGTCCCCATAGCATTAGATTTGGTTTCAGATTTTATTGGCACATGTACTCAAAAACAGGAGTACAGCGAAAAGTGTATAATGTCGCCACTCTTAGGAACAAAGGCACCTCTAGGTACAAAAAACCTAGGGACGGAGTAGCAAAAGAAACAAAGTTTAAAAAGTTAAGTATTACCTTCATCAAACAAGTGGAAAAATAAACAAATAAGATAATAGTTAACATTAAAGTGCTTTTTAATGTAAACTAGAAAAATAAAAGGAATCAAGTTAAAAGTTCAACATTAGCCTGGAGCCTCAGCATTATTAAACCAGTGACGTTATCCATATAGTGCTGTCTCCCTCTCCAACAGAGATCAGAGATTATCTTTGAAAACTGGCTGTGACCACCACACACCCCCACCCCACCACTGTTCCTGGAGTCATCACAAAAGTTAAAGATATTTCAAAATAAGAACAGGCTCCCTAATTTCCCTGTCTTTCAGACTCAGGTTGACAGAAAGCACGCATCAGGTTCCTGTACTTAACACGAATTACTATTAATTCGAACTACGAGTGAACAATTATGAACCATCAACACATATAGCTCTATTAGTTAAAACTGTAACCCACTTATAAAATTCCCCCTCTGCACACACACACAGACCGAAACAAAACAAAACATGGGTGTTACAGGTGAATGGAATGGCTGGGAAGGCAGTCGTCCCTGTCCACATGGTATGCTGAGGTGATCCTTCTGCTGATCAGAACGCTGTTTCTCGATCTTCCTTCTCCAGAAGCTTTCACTTGTCTGCAGGAGGCACTAGGTGACTGGTTCATACTTATAGAAATCTCTCACTTATTAATGAAAAGACACAGCTTGCAACTGAGGAGGGGAAATAAACTGGCTATCTTCAACTTGAATTGCTTTCTGCTGCAGAGCAACGACACTTCCTTCTCTTCCAGAGATCTGATAGCTTCTGGCCCGAACATTCACACCCCTTTGTGGCCAATCGCAAAGCTGTTGGTGTGCAAGAGGTTTTTGTCATTGATAACTGGTCACCATATCATACCAGTCTTCCAGCACCTCGTCTGTGGCTATCGAGCAAGGGGCCCATAAATCACTTCCCTAGCTTCCCATAGAGTTCTTGGGTATACCTGATCAGGTGCCAGGGGATTATCCACCTTTGTGCATTTTAAGACGTCCAGCACCTCCTCCTCTGTAATATGGATATTTTTCAAGATGTCGCTATTTATTTCCACACATTCTCTATCTTCAATATCCTTCACCACAGTAAATGCTGATGCAAAATACTCATTCAGTATTGCCCCCTTCCCCTGCGGATCAACAAATAGGTGACCTTGCTGATCTTTAAGTGGCCCTACTCTCTCCCTCATTACCCTTTTGTCTTAATATATTTGTAGAATCCCTTTGAATTCCCCTTAACCCTATTTGCTAAAGCTATCTCATGTCCCCATTTTGCCCTCCCAATTTCCCTCTTTAGTATACTCCTACTGCCCTTATACTCTTCTCAGGATTCACTCGACCTCTGCGATCTATACCTGACATATATTTCCTTCTTATTCTTGGCCATAACCTCAATTTCTCTAATCATCCAGCATTCCCTACACCTACCAGTCTTGCCCTTCACCCTAACAGGAGCATACTGTCCTTGAACTCTTGTTATCTCATTTTTGAAGGCTTCCCATTTTCCAGCCATCCCTTTACCCACAAACATTCACCCCCAAATCAACTTTTGAATTTCTTGCCTAATACTGTCAAAATTGGCCTTCCTCTAATTTAGAACTTTGACATTTAGATCCAGTCTATCCTTTTCTGTCATTTTTTAAAAACTAATAGAATTATGGTCACTGGCCCCAAAGTGCTCCCCCACTGACACCTCAGTCACCTGCCCTGCCTTATTTCCTGACAGTAGGGCAAGTTTTGCACCTTCTCTAGTAGATAATTCCACATACTGAATCAGAAACTTTTCTTGTACACATTTAACAAATTCCTCTCCATCCAAGCCCTTAACACTATATGACAGTCCCAGTGTATGTCTGGAAAGTTAAAGTCCCCTACCACAACCACC